ATGAAAGATGAATGAAATGCAGCATCTGCGAGTTGGAAATGCCCTTCAACAAGTTGCAGGAACACCTGAATGCCTGTGCCAGCCGAACGGAGCGGTGTTGGGAATGCAACACATACGTCATGTACAAAGATCAGAACAAACACAAAGATATTTGTCAGAAAAGCAGTCTGTCCAACCACAAGGACGTTGTTGCACTTGCCGGCCAGAAAGCTTTCAAATCCAGCACTGACTCTCCTCTACCTTCTTCCTCTCTGGCTTCCTCTTCCAATTCTGAGAATGCAAAGGCATGGAAAGATGTCCGTCCCAAAGGGAAAGAAAGAGACCAGCCATTGACCTCCAAAACCTTGCTCAAACCTCCAAAGAACAAAAAGAGGGTTGGCTTTCTTTCTCCCACAAAGAGTGGGCTTTCCACATCAGCTCAAGCTCTTAAAGACACTCTGTGTTATGACATGATGGTGGCCTGTGCCCACTGCAACACTTTCCTGCCACTTTCGACCCTTCGAAAACATGAGGTGAGCAGTGACACCTTGGGCTTTGTCTCTTATATGCTCATATAAAGGGCATACTTACAGGGTCACAACACCTCCCCTGAGGTCCCAGGGCCTATTCCAGATTCCAGAGCTACGTATGTAAATGCTGACTGTAGCTGTATTCTTGCCGTAACTCCTGGAATTGTCTAATTCCATTAGTTATTTATGCTCAGATCCACACAGACTACCTCCATTGCCTACAGCCTACCTCAGAGATAGGAAAAAATAACATCAATTTTAAGGTCAAATCCTGAAAAATCTTCAGCACTCTCCTTATTTTCTATAGGCTGATACTGTTTCTTCAAAAAATGCCATGATTCTATCGGCTGCATCAGAGATGGAGCTTTAGAGAGTTTCAGTCCCACCACAGGGGTTCAGTTGCTCCCTATAGAATATAACTGCACGTTGAGTATAATATTAAGCTCTTCTGTAATACAATTGTTATTTTCCAGATCAAGTGTCTACACTTGACAACTTTACAAAATACTAAGATGAAGCCAAAATCAAGTCATGGAAAAGAAGGTATTGCAGAAATTGTGAAATGTAGAGTAGAAATTTCCATCCATAATTATTCTGTATTGTGCAAACTGGAACAATGCAACAATATTTTGCAGAGGAAGTATATGTATAAGAATTAACATTCAGAATGTCAGGATATTGTAAAGCTTTTTGGTATTCCAACACACTGGTTCCCATGTGGTAGTTGGAGGCACTCAGTAGATAAGTTTTGTAACAGAAGAGTAAAAAGGAGGCTAGACTTGCTGTTTGATGGTTGAATTAAGAGCTGGTTCAAGTCAAGAGAACAATAATTTAAAAAATCCACTCATTTACTTTTGCCTGTAAAGCTTTAATCTCCTGCTAAAATAAAGACAGCAAGCACCCCCATATGCAGTGGAGAGTTTTTCTAATTTGGATTTGTAGGAGGATTCAAATAAAAATAAGTACATCATAATTACATGGATTATTTGACTTGCATTATACTTCTTCAGACTGTTCTACTTAATACATCAGTCTCTATGTCATCGTAGAGATAGGAAGACTGTAAAATTGTGAATATCTCTTTAAAAAGACTGATAACTGGGTTTTGTTTGTTTTACAGAAGGTTCCTTCTAGATACTTATGCTTAAATTTGAAAATAGAGATGCAACTCCAGAACGAAGCTTCAGCCCATCCTTAACAAAAAGCACAGCAATTACACTAGCTCTATCGAGAAAAAATAAAAGTTACTCACTACTCTGGATGAAGAACAGAAAGTGGTTGCAACTTTCATTCTTTGTTAAGAGAGGCCTTTAACAGGTTTCATCAGAAAACTGGTTTATTTTAGAAGGGATTAAAGATGAGGTAAAAACCTTGGATGAGAGGAGGTGGAGGGGGGAAACACAGCAACTGACAACAGTTTTTGCTGCCTGGACACAGGGACTTTATAGATATCCTGGCGTCACTGTCCGGGTGCTCAGAGGGGGCTGCCGTGGTGCCAGCTCACCAGTGCAGGCGGACGCGGGAGGTCCATCCGCACCCATGGACAGCAACCCAGGGGCAGCAGGACGGGCAGCAGGACGGGCAGCGGGGCCTGCGGAGCCGCGGGATGGGGCCGGGGGAAGAGCCGTGCAGGCGGGAAGGGCCCGCGCTGGGGGATGCGGGGCAGGACGGCGGAGCGCTGAGCGCAGCCCTGCCTCTTCACGCGGGTGTTCACTGTCCCGCGCAGCGCTGTTCACCCGGGGGTTTATTGCCCGTTACTGCTGAGCTGTCCTCTCTGCAGAGCATCAGCCTTTCATCCTCCAGCGTGGAGCTCCCCCAGCTGGACGTGAGATGGAGGGATGCCTCTGCTTCATCAGCGCTTAATGTTCCCGTTGCAATTAGTTCTGACTGGTTTACTTACATTTGCAGTTTACATTTTGATTCTGCTTAATAAGAAATAATCTGTTCTTCTGTCTTGCCAAGGAGCTTATGCAGGAGGAAGGCAGATAGGAAAGGCCGTCTCCTCTGCTTTTCAGTCATCCATTATCATTTAAAATGCAAAGATACCTTATCTATCCTCTTGCACAGTTAGTATGGAGTATTTAACTTTTTCCACTTCCAACTGTAATAGTAATGTAACATGCTATCCCTTTCAAATCAGCTAGTTTGTTAAAAAAAAACACTAATTTCTAGTTTGTTTTAGATGAATCTTGCCAATCTGTTCCTTTGTGAAATAATCCGTTTGGTTTAATATTAGCCACACACCAATGATCTGCATATAATTTACAAACAGGCTGTCGGGATCTGCAGGCAGCTTTTGCTCAAGCAGAGCTGTGGCTCAGCCGTGTCCCAGGCAGGGGCAGAGGTGAATGTGTCCCACCTGGAGAGGTGCAGAGCAGAGGCCAGGACACACTCGCCGGTGGCTCGGCCATGCTCTTGGGAACAGCACCGTAGCTCACCGATGGCTGCAGGGGCGATCAGAGGCAACTTTGGTGGTTTCAAGTCCTCTGTATATATTTATGATTTGTTATTTGTGTGTGTATATACATATTTCTACAGAAGAAGGGCCACAGTGTTTCCAGGGCTCACAAGGATGCTGTGGGACGGCTGGATAAATGACTCCTTTCCTCTTCCTACGTGGTGGCCATGAGCCCATCACAGGCTGCGGGAAGGCAGCCCACAAGGGCTGGTGTGTTTGGTGGGGGAGAGTTCAGCTGTACCATCCATTTGACTTCCAACAGTTGGGAGTTGGGACATTGTGCAAGCAGATTTCACAGTCATTTTCTGCTTTCCTGAGTCAAAAGCAGCAGCAGCAGCAGACTTTGAACAACTGATGGCATTATAGCACTTAGGGGCCTTGAGTGTTTGGTTTCTTAATTCTTTTTAGAAAGGCTACAGATATAACTGTGAGCAGAAGTGGTCTAAATCAGCAGAGAGGCTTCCCACCTTCCTATGAGTTTCCTTTATCATTGCTAATGGAATAACTCCAGGGCTTAATCTTCAACTTCCTGCTCAATCTGCATTTCTTTTTGTCTCACCACATTAATTAATTTATAAGCTGAGAAGTGACAGGTGGTGTTTATTATGGAGATGACTTCCTTGAACAAGCTCCCAAAAATAACCTCCGCTGGTTTGCAAGGAACCTCATATTTGATAATTAATTATGCAAACCTACTTTAACATATCTTTAGGTAATCAGAACAAAAGAAGGAAGTTGTCTTTGTTAATTATCATGAAAATTTACTTATGAATATTGTGCTTATGCACATTACGGTGTCTGCTGTCACTCATGTCCAGAATAGCTTCAGGCAGTGTTATTTTCTTCCCATTGTCATCATAAGAAAGGGCTGATAAAAAGAACAGAGCTGGAGCTGAAGGCTCCACAGATTCATCTCAGATCATGTTATTCCTGTTGTGACTTCATGCCCTTTGGCTGTTTCAGGGTCTGGCTTGCTATGCTTGTCCTAGCTGTGTCATCTCGTCTTTGCAGGGTCACAGTGTCCCTGGGACTGGGGCTGTGCCATGCTCCCCTCCTGTGGTCCATGATAGGAGCTGGATGTAGCGTCCCATCTGTAGTGCGACGAGTGAAATCGGACTGGCCATGGGTCACAGATGCTGTTTTGGCATTTTCTGTCCTGAAACAGGCAACAAACCAGTTGGTGTGCTTGTAAACCAGGACATTTTAAACTTCCTTTTGAAATATCTCTTGAGGGTTCTTCCCTTTATCTTTGAGGTAATGCTTTATCTACTAATTCCAGGTAAGAGTTTGGCTACTTAGCCTTCATAGACCATGTTCACAGGCCAAGTGCTGCAATTGATAAAGTCGCAAATCCAGAGGTCTGCTGGCCAGTTCTTGACAGCTGGGTGAGAGTGACAGAATTAATTACGGTCTTGGATTAAAATTTCTGGCAGTGCAGGTTGTAAGTGCTTTGCTCTTTGGTAAAAGCCCCCCCAGAACAGACTAGCTCAGCCTTTGGCCCTCATTTCTTCCCTAGCATAAAGCTGATAAAGCAAATTTCCATTAAAATAGAGAAAGTTGAACACTCCACTTTATAGCTACTCTTTATGATACAGAGAATGTCTTTGAATTTCCATAGCTCGACATTCAACAGAGGTCACTAACATATCACTAAATACCTTTGTAGGTGCTGCTAATACACATTTTATGCTCTATCTAGTACTGAAAATATTAAATGTGTCTGATGCCTGCTCAAAGACATACCTAAGGATCAAAACCTCACTTTCACCTATGCCTCCAAGACCCAGTTTTCTAGGATACCCTTGAGCAAGCCTGATGGAACTCTTTGGTGCAATAAAGGACTCTCAGCACACTACTTGCATCATTTTATTTCTTACCTACTTTATCTTTGTGTGCAAAAATGGTGTAACTGACTCCTTGAAATCTGTGATTAAAATGGTGAATTTGGGGTTCTTCCCACTATCTGTATGAGTACTGTGCTTCCCCGAGCTGTGCCGACGGCCCCATCACCTCGGCAGTGTACAAGCACACAAGCAACGGAGCCAAGCTGCAGAGCTCATCCAGGCAGGAGGAAGGAGATCTTCTACCTTCTCCTGGACACCTGGAGCTGAGACATGGAAAGTTCAGGCATCCTTTCCAAGGACACTAGAGAATCTGGCAGATCCATGCTTCTAATTGTCAAATTCATAACATAAATAGTAAGAGACCAAAGGTGTAATGAACCAGCTAATCTGCAATAACATCATAGCAAAGAAGTAAACTGGTAAAAAAAGTCACAGTTTATTTCAAAATTTTAAACCTGGAGGATAGAGAAATGGCTTGATTCCCCAAAAGCTTGCTTGAATTTTCTGTTTTTAAATCTACCCCCATTCCCTAAAAGCTAAAGATGAGGAAGAGTGACAAAACCAGCAGAAATGCAAGAGCTGATGCTGATGCTTGATTTCAGAGCCTGATCTGAATGACCTTGATCACTGTGAGCAATCCTGGTTTGCAGATGTTTACAAGTACTGCTACCACACTGCACGTAATAATCTACGGTGGCACAATTAGAAGTTACAACCACGATGCCACCTCGCTTTGTAGTTTGCCCTTTTAATTTTGTTCGTTGCTATGGTTGCAGGAAAGGATTGCAATCATTGCTGTTTATATTGAAAATCAAGTTACATCAATAGAAATCCTGGAAACTAAACAATAAAAATATGCCTTAACCATACAGTGCATTTGCTTTTGCACATAATAGGTTGCTCACAAAAATCAGGATTCATCAAAATCTTTTGTTCCTAAAGCACTTGGAAAGTTTTTTAAACTAAGGAGTTGTCAAATGATTGTTTATTTTGCATACATACTTACCCAGTGCTCTTCATGAGGCTGGACAATATGTTTTTCTTTTGCATGGTTTCTTGAGTAGATCCTTGAAAGAAATCACTTTAACAGCCTTTTATTGTTGAAATATCTACTTTTTTTTTCTATTTTTGACATTGCACTAGTCATAGTAGCATGTTAAGTCTAAGTAATGTGTCTTTTAAAAAAGATTTCAGAACTTTCTCCCACACTGCTTTTCTTGTCTGTTTGGATTATATAGGCT